CAACTTCTGAATGTCATTCCTACATTATCAGCTGCTTAATGGGCATTGTCCACTTAGATGTTTCTGGAACTTCAAACTTCATGAGTATAAAACTAACTCATCAAAAAACCTTCCATCCCAGCTCCTTCTCTAGCCTTGTTAAGGCATCGTCATTTTCTCATTCACCAGCCTCAAATGTTGTAACTTTCTCCCCATAGCAACTGATTAACCCGAATCTCCCCTACTCTTCCCTCGCCATGTATTTTATTTTATTATTATTATTTTTTTTGCTTTTTTTTTTTTGCTATGTATTTTAAATCCATCCTCCCTTTCCAGTCTCACTGTCACCACCCTCCTTCAGCCTTGGACTATTGCAATAATCCTAAAGTCTCTTGGCCTTAAAGCATTTCACTCTACAATTTATCCTGTATGTTACCATGCCTGAATTAGTGTTCCCTTCTCATCATGCTAGTCTCCTGATAAAAACATTCAGAAGCACCTAGCACAGGGCCGTACAAAAAGTTTGTAAGTTAATTAAAATTACAAACTTTATTGCAGTTGTGAATTCTGACCACAAAATTGAACATATGAATTGCTGTAACACCTTCATTATTATAAACAGAAAAATTATTTTATAGATTGCTAGATGCTTTGCATTGTTCAAAGTATTTTTTCTGTATTACTAGATCTGGTAGAAGCTATACATAGACAAAAGTAGTAATCATTCATGTTCAGTGGAGCAAGTGAGACACTAAAAGTGTAATTTGTTCATTTATCTGTTCTACACATATTTATTAAGTATTTACCACGTGCATGGTAATAGGTTCTTGGGTGTGTCAGGGAGAGAAGAACTGAGTGAGGGGAGATAAAAGAGAATGTGATCCTGTTATGAACTGAATGTTTGTGTCCTCCGAAATTCACATGTTGAAATCCTAACCCCCAGTGTGATGATTTTAGGAGGTGGGGATTTTGCCAGGTAATTAAGTCATGAGTGTGGAGGCTTCATGAATGGGATTAGTAGCCTTATAATGTGAGATACACAAGAGCTTTCTTTGCTCTCTGCCATGTGCGGACCCAGCAAGAAGATGGCCACCTACATGCCAAGCAGTGGGCCTTCACCAGACATTAGACATGTATACACACACACACTCACACACACATTAGACATGTATGCACACACACACTCACACACACAGATCTTTGGTGTATATTCACACACACACACACACGTGTGTATATATATAAAATCTCTGTATATCTCATTGGTTCTGTGTCTTTGGTAGAATCTTGACTGATATAATCCACCCTTGTGATGACTAGCTTTCAGGAGAAATGTTTGGAGGTTACTAAGGAATGTTTTCCTTTTTGTTTTTCAAAATACTGGGAGGAGGGCAGACATAGGATCTGTCTCTAGTTTTGGACTGCCCAGCATGCTTTACTTTTCTCCCTTTTGCTAGTAATAGAATTCCTCTGTCTTATAGGGAATCTCATCCTTGTACTTTGAATGGGGCTGACCTACTTTCACTCCAGGTGTTGGCACTTGACCCAGCCTAGCCAATCAGAATAATGCATCTCATTGGCAACAGTGATTGGTTTAGGGATGGGCACGCGACTCAAGCTGGACCAGTAACATTCCCCTTGTGACTTTTGCTCGAAATTTCCAGAACCTGGTGGTTTATTATGAAAGTTGCCAGCTGAAAGGGCAATGTAGGGTTAAAGCTGTGGATGAGACTATCTCTTCTCCTCCTTACAGAGATATCAACAAAGAGGAAAAGAGGCTGATTCTTGATGTCAGCTTTTCAACCCCTGGATGTAATTGTGTACCTTAAATTGCTCAGTTACATATTCCAGGAAAATCACCCCCACCTCTTTTTCACTTTGTCCTGTTAAAGGTGGTTTGACCTGTATTTTCTGACGCTAGCAACTGAGTTTTGACTAACAAAGAAATTGCCCAGGAATCTGCAATTTGTGAAGAGGTAGAAAATATTATGATTATAGAGGGGACTGAAACAAAGAAAAAACGATTGTGTCTGGAGACATAAGGAAGATATTACAGCATGAAACACAGGGCACTGAAATAATTTCTCACTAGGATGATGTTTTTGCCACTAGTTGAGGTGGTCATATTATAAGACAGCAGCTAAAAGCAGCTTTTCAGAGCTTCAATTGTGATTTAAAGAATGTATGTAGGAAAATTAAAATAATTAAAAAATTTAAAACTACACTAACTTTTACATATAAATAATTTAATTGAGTGTGAATTATTCTTAGGCCTGCACCATATGATAAATCACCTAGTTAATTTAAAAATTCTGTTATTGGGGCTTCCCTGGTGGCGCAGTGGTTGAGAGTCCGCCTGCCGATGCAGGGGACACGGGTTCGTGCCCTGGTCCGGGAAGATCCCACATGCCGCAGAGCAGCTGGGCCTGTGAGCCATGGCCGCTGAGCCTGCGTGTCCGGAGCCTGTGCTCCGCAACGGAAGAGGCCACAACAGTGAGAGGCCCGCGTACCGCCAAAAAAAATAAATAAATAAAATTTAAAAATTCTGTTATTGAGGATATTAATAAATACAACATCAATTCTTGGCCGTTCTCATTTTAGATACTAGGCAGTCCCAACAGCCATTTCTTTAATACAGACTTGGTTGGCAAAAAGTTATGCTTTTCTTGACTAGTGAAAGAAGAAGCTGTGAACTAGCATGGCAGATAGGTAAATGAATTAGCATTTACTGAATGACAGTGTCATAAGTACTACTTTAGAGGTAGGCAAAAGGCAACTGAGAGCAAAGAGCAGAGATATCTATATCAGAGTTGGGGTGTCAGAGGATTCCTGGGGGATAAGCTTGAACTGATACTGGAGGATGAGTGAGGGTTACTCGATGATGGTGGGGCTGAGGGCATCCCAGACATCACAAATGCAGAAGCATGGGAGACACCAGGCAGCTCAGGATAGTAGAAATGAAATGTTCATGAGGGAGAGGTGGGAGATGACAATAGAAAAGTAAGCAGAGACTCGAGACTGTGTGTGTTAAGCTTGAGAATTTGAACTCTGGCTGCAGTGGGGTACCACGGAAGGACTTTAAAACAGAACAGTGACCATTTATTTAAATCTCCCAAGACTTATTCTTTTTTTCAAGCCAGGACCACATTTGGGGCTAGTTATAAATGCATGGCAAATAAGGAAATGAGCAATTACTCCCATCTGTAGGGTGTTATAGGGAAAACCTTTACTATCTATGAGGCTCTGATCAACAGGACTTCCAAGGAGTGATTGGGTCATTGTTCTCATGGGGCTTAACCAAAGGCCTTGGGCAGAAAGACAGCACTTTGAGAGAAGGAGGCTTTGTACCAGAGGGTGGGTACTGATTCAAATTCATGTGTGTTGAGTCCCAACTGGGGCCTTGACATTGATCTTCTGTACTCCTGGATCTGAAATAAATTCAGAAATGTAGTCCTTTGGAATGAAAGCTAAAATGAGGGTGGGAGAGAAAGGGGAAATACAGAAAAGAATTAGCCTTACTTTAGTGACAAATTCCCAGCAGGGTATTCTTTTAAGTAGCATGTATTCTGTTCTATTCCATTAATTTTAAAAGGAGGACCACTAGAAATGACTTATCTGAGTAACCCAAAAGATTCAGATCAGCTAGTAAACTAATGGGACCCAGGTCACCTTTTACATGAATGATGCATGAGCAGATGACAGATACAAAGAGCTTTGCTAAGTCTGCCAATGTTTAGTGTCTAAGAAACTGAAGGGTTTCAGTCAAATGAATAAAGATCCCTCCAGTATAGTGACTTCCTGTGCTTTGGAAGATTAACCAGTGCATGCTTTGCTAACAGTTTGTTTTTCTGCTTTGACAAGGAGAAAAAAATAAAGAAAAAGAAAGGGTGATATGTACACATATTCGAAAGATAGGGGATTTATAGAACTGCACTGTTCTACTGTTTCTGAATGACCCCTTTTTAATGTAAAAGAGACCTGTGACCTTATTTGCATTTCAAATATCCCTGGAGTGGAATAGTGAAGATCAATGAATTGATTGTCAGAGAAACAGCGTGAGTAACAAATTTCTTAGTAAAGAGAAAAGAAATACAAAGGAGGAGGATAGTAAGGTCTTCCTAATTCAGAAGTAATGGAACGAAAAGTCTCAGCTCTATTCTTGGTCTCATTTTTCTAAAATTCAAATAATCTGTGAGGTTAGGAAGAACAATGCTGACCTGAAAAGTGCAGTTAAATATTTTCTCAGTGCATAATTTGGGACATTTGAATATGGCCTAACATGTATTTTGGGGGTGGGCTGCATTTACCTTGTCTGGGGGATATTTTGAGATGCAACACAAAGTAATAGAAAATGGGTTGTATTTGGAAGCTGAAAGCCACCTTTCCAGAAACCCTGTCCTCCCTCAACCATTCAAGGCCAGAGGGCGGGCTTCTTTTCAGAGTGAAAAATCTTTTCAGAGTAGTATAAACATTTATATATTCAGAGGAAGTCTCACTCCATAGAGTAGGTTGTATACTAGTCCTATGTCTCCAATAAAATAATCACTTCAGCATGTAATTGTCTAGATGGCTAGGGAGAGGGAGTTTTTTGTTTGTCTATTTTCTGAACACTTTTGGAGCTCTCCTTATAGACTCCTGGAGCCCCTAATTTATACATATCTTAGGGATGGGAAGTACTACCGTACAGAATGTCATACTAGACACTTTTATGTCACATACAACATACATAATGTTCTGTTAGAATTTGCAAAGTGCTTTTGCATATGTAAGGTTTCTACTCCCACAACAGATTCGTGAGGTAGGTAAACCACGTATTATTGTCTTGCCTTTGTAGGAAGTAGATGGGTAAGGAGTTTAAGTAACTTGCCCAAGATGACACAACAAGTAAATGATGAGGACAGGACCCCATACAAGGCCTGCTGGCTGCAAGTTATCACCCCAGTGTATCAGTTTGTTAGAGCTGCTGTAACAAAGTACCACAAACTAAGTGGCTTAAATAACAGAAATTTATTGTCTCACAGGTCTGGAGGCTAAAAGCCCAAGATCAAGATGTCGGCAAGGCCATACTTCCTCTGAAGGAGCCAAGGAAGGAAGGATCTGTTCCAGGCCTTTCTCCCAGCTTCTGGTAGTTCCTTAGCTTTGGGCAGGGTAACTCCAATCTCCACATGGTATTCTCCCTGTGTGTGTGTCTGTCTCTTGCATTCCTCCTTTAACTGTTAAGCCACACTGCCTCTCTCATTGTCCCTCGTTCGTTTTATCCACACCTCGCTGGTTTGGTTTCTATCAGAGGTCTAGCATGGAGTTTGGAAGCATCTCTAATTTCAGGATCTCAAGACTGTCTCTCCTGTGAGTAGAGAGAGGTTATTCTTTGCACCCAGTGCCCCTACAAAAGGTGCAGGCAGTCTGAACAGCCCTGTGTCTTCCTTTTAAAATGCCAGAACCATTAAGTACAGTAAATGTGTTCTACTAGAAAGGGTGGGTTGTAGCCAGCAGGAGTAAAAGCCATGCCACTTATTGGTCTAAAAAGGTATTTAGCAGCTACAAATAACCTCCTGGATTAATGGAATCAACAGTCTTTAGGTCTCCACATGTAAAGGGACCATTTATTCGACATCCATTCATTTATTCAACAGGCCGCGGTGCCGGTTTGGGTCGAGCTAACTCTGAATTGAGGCTGCTGTCCTTCCTCTTAAGGCTTTCTTCAATAATTATTCTGTTATTGACACATCACTGACCCAGGCATGACTAATGGGTTAGTATTACTGAGAGATGCAGCTAAATAAAGGTCACCTCAGGGTGGGCGGTGGGGGGAGTCGAGCTGACATTTCCATGGTGCAGTGGTGGAGCAAATGGAGATTTTAAGGGGGCAGACCCCACTCAGTCTTTACAGGAGACTACAGTGCCATTACAATGCTGCGTAATTAAATTTCTTCCTTTTCCGCAATCTTTGTTGCACTTATTAATTAAGTAAAATGACACAAGAGGGTGAGCGCTGGCTGGCTGTGGCACACTTTGGTGTATTGTTAGGACAGCGGTGCAGGCTTGATTACAGTCAGTGTGAGCAGTAGCAGGTTACTTATTGGGTAATAAGACCGACCCAGGAGTGTCTTTATAAGAGTTGAAAGAGGAATTTTCAGATAAAAGAGAAAAAAATGTTTTTTTAATGAAATTTAGAAAATGGGGTCAGAGTATAATTTATGGACTAAATCTTGCCCTCTGGCATCTGCCAAAATAGAAAGACAAGGAGGGGGAAGGAAGCCAGAGCTTGGCAACTTTCTCATAAGCTCTCTCTCTCCTTTTCCTGTCCATCTGTAACCCCACATCAATGGATTGCCTACATCCTTAGGCAGGGTTTGCTATCGTCTCCTCAGGATGCCTTTTTTCTTTTAAATACTGGAGGGCTTACCTGTAAAAAACTCTAGCTGATTGCTTTTCTCCAGCATCAGTTTTCCTATGTGTAAAATGGGCAGGTGAGTCCTTGATACAGTGTTGCCTCACAGAGAATTCGGGAGACACAATGAGTATAAAGCTCTTTGTGTGCTATGCCAGAAGACACACTGGAAACAATAATCAGCGCAGGTCAGAGCTGTGCCCACTGAAAAGATGCAACAAGTGTTTTCTGGATGAACAGATGAACCCGAAAAGGCCTTTTCTGTTTGCTCGCTGTGGTGGACCTGAGGATGTGCTGCTCCGTCTTATGGTCTGATGCCCTCAGCTGCTGGGGTGCTGCAGGCAGCCGGCCCCTTCCAGGTTCTCTCCGGTGAGGAGAGAGGCCTTGTACAAGGCCACGCCCCCTTCCTGGGGCAGCTGCATCCAAAGACTGACTGATGAAGGGCTACGGAGCTTTGGTCCTCTCACCCAAATGGAACAGCATTGAGAGGTGGGTCCGTCTTCAGAAATCCCCAGAGTTAGGCTGAGGCGTCCATCGAAACTGCACTGCAGCCCGACTTCTCCCTCTGCCCAGTTTTGCTTCCTTCTCTTCCCTTCCCTGCCATAGGTGTTGGATCCCAAGGGCACCCCCTAAAAATGTCCTGCACACTAATCTCTGTCTCAGAGTCTTCTTCCTGGGACACCCAAGCTGCGACATTCATGAAATTATGTAGTACTATACATGCAAAAAGATTTGGGGGCTGACGGAATAGGGTGAAGAAGACATGTGCTACTCATTGCTGCTGAGAGAACTCTTGTTTGTGATGAGAACTTTTATGTGGAATTTGCAGGCTGGAACACAGCAAATTCCGCCAGAGCCTCACCCCACCCTGTGCCTGCTTTAATCTGGTATCTAATGGCTACAGCCCCTTGGAGCCAAACTCTTTTTTTGATTCTCTCCCTTTTAAGGCTGGAACATGTGGGACCTGGTTTACTGGAAACATGACTATATTATACAGCAGATGTTAATGAAGAATGGGCACATGAGGTTAATAGTACTTTTTGACTGGCTTATTGCATTTTGAAGAGAACATTGAAGCTATTAAAATGTGTAATTGGGAAACAGAACCTATGATGCCATCTACATATTTCTGTGACCCGTGTTTAAAGGGTTTCATTCAGTTCTCTAATAAGTGAAGGGAACAGTTTTGACAGTGCCTGCTTTTTATTGTCTTCCCCATTTTTCATTTTCCAAGGCTGAAGATATAACGCAGACCTTCTATGCATCCTGAATCTATGTTTATTTGCTCTTGCCATTTGCTTGGCTCTATTGTTAAGAGAAGAAAATATGAGAGAAGAAAAGTTATGATCCTTAGAGGCTTTTCTAATTAACTGTTTGAAGGAGACTTTGAAAAAGTGCCTAAGTGTGAGGTTATTTGTATGCCTAATTTCGTTTTTATGTTACACTTACTTTTAAGTGTAATTTACCAAGGCTTAACACTTGTATTCTTTCAGGGGCATTACAAAGAGCATTGCACATTTATTACAGCCCTCTAAATGGCTGTGTTTTATTTCCATATGCTTTTAAATGGTTATTGAGTGGATTTGGTGCTCTTCCTGTAGTTAAAGTGCATTTTTTTTTATTGTACATGAATGGTAAATAATTGATACCTGCCATATGCTTCTCTCTCCCTTTCTGAGCTCCCCTTTCCCTTTCCCTCTTCATTCTCTTCCCTTCTCTGTTCCTATTGGTTTCTGCCCTTATCATGCTCTTTATCCTTTCTGCTCCTCTCTCTGCAGGTCTCCACTGCTTTCAACACCATTTTCCTTACCTCTCAACGTGCTCATTTGAGAGGGGGTTTTTACGTGAATTCTTGAGACCATTGCATTACTCGGTGGGGATGAAGGAGGGGATAAGGGCGTACAGCTTTTTATTAGGTGATGCTCAGATCAAGAATTTAAAATAAGAGAGTGATTTTAGAGAACATTTCTTGAATATTTTTTTCTTCAGATTGCAAATTGATACAGGGCTAATTATTGTTGCCTCTGCTTCTCTGACTAACCAGTGACAACCTCTAGAAGCTTGGAATTAAGGAAGATGTGGCCAAGTGTCTGAGATCATTCTTAGCAGGCAAAGCTTCTCAAGCTGAACAGTTTGAAAGAGTCTCTCATTAGGAAAAGAAGAGGATAGATACTTCAAGATAAAATCTAAAGAATGTTCAGTTGGATGAATTTTGGGGGGGGGGAAATTCCTACTATACTGAAGCCACAAAACTATAAAAATTTTGATTTCTTTGCTCTTAAATCCCCAGAAGGCAAAAACAAAAACCCACTTATAGATGTGACAGCCCACAAACACTAGAAGAGTTTTTCATTTTGAAATTTTAGAAAGTAGTTGAAAATTCATATAGAAATGTAAGGAACCTAGAATAATCAAAATAATCTTGGAAAAAAAGAACAAAGTTGGAAGACTCATATTCTCTATTTCAAAACTTAATACAAGGCAACATTAATCAAGATAGTATGGTACCGGGATAAGGATAGACACATTGATCAATGGAAAAGAAATGAGAGCCCAGAAGTAAACCTACATATCTATGGTCAACTGGGTTTTGAAAAAAAATGTCAACATCATTCAACAGAAAAAGAATAGACTTTTCAACAAATGGTACTGGTACAAATGGACAGCCACATGCAAAATAATGAAGTTGGATCTCTATCTTACACCTGTACAAAAATTAACTCAAAATGGATCAAAGGCCTCAATGTAAAGCTAAAACTATAAGGCTCTTAGAGGAAAACATAGGAGTAAATCTTTGTGACTTTCGATTTGGCAGTGGATTCTTAGACATGACACCAAAAGTACAAGCAACAAAATGAAAACAATAGATAAACTGGAATTCTTTAACATTAAAAACTTTTTTTCTTCAAACTACACTATCAAGAAAGTGAAACGACAGCCTGCAGAATGGGTGAAAATATTTCCAAATCATAAATCTGATAAGAATACTTAGAATATATATTCAGAATATTTAAAGAATTCTTATAGTTCAATAATAGCCAGACTTAAAAACGGGCAAATGATTTGAGTAAACATCTTTCCAAAGAAAATAATCAGAAGACCAACAAGCTTAAGAAAAGATGCTAAACATCATTAGCTATCAGGGAAATGCAAATCAAAACCACCATGAGATACCACTTCACATCTGCTATGTTAAAAAAGACAGACAATAACAAGTGTTGTCAGGATGTGAAGAAATTGGAATCCTTATACAAGGCTGGTGGGAATGTAAAATGTTACAGTCATTTTGGAAAAGAGTCTAGTGGTTCCTCAAAAGATTAAACATAGAGATACCATATGGAGTAGAACCCCAGCAATTCCACTTCTAGGTATTCAGTTGGCCCACACGTTCATTCGGGGTTTTCCATAAGATGCAACGGAAAAACCCAAATGAACTTTTGGGTCAACCCAATATACACTCAAGACAAATGAAAACATACGCCCACACAAAAACTTGTACATGAAATGTTCATAGTAGCATTAACTGTAATAACTAAAAGGTAGAAATAAACCGCATGTCTATCAACTGATGAATGAATGAATAAAATGTGTTATATCTATACAATGGAATATTATTTGACCATTGAAAGGAACGAAGTACCGATACATGCTACAGCATGGATGAACTTTGAAAACATTATGCTAAGTGAAAGAAGCCAGACACAGAAGTCCATATATTGTATGGTTTCATTAATATGAAACCATCAAGATAGGCAGA